CAGGCGGGGTGTTCATTAGGGCAGCTTGACACGTTCATCGGACTGCACCCGTGCGCACCAACGGGCCAGTGGTAACTGCGGGAATATCCAATTATTTCTCCAGAAGCGCTCAACGTTTATGACGCGAACTGTCTCGGGGTATCAGATGGAGATTGTCATCTGTGAAGCTCGGGAGTTTTTGCTCAGATCGAAATAATGTTACGAGATAAAAGTAAACTTGGACACCCTTTCCCCACTCCCTTTGGTATTCGGTATTGACATGACCTAGTACGCAAATCCGGGGTCACCATGACTATAATAATTATTATTATTATTATTATTATTATTATTATTATTATTATTATTATTATTATTACTATTACTATTATTATTACTATTATTATTTCTTCATCTTCAGTTATGAGGAGTGTTTTGGAGTCGCTCCGTCCACACACATCCTCACGTCTCTTCTCGTCATCATTAGTATTCACTCAAAAACGTGAATGATAATATTGTAAACAATGATATGAATAACTGTTTCTACTACTGAATTCAAATCTTGAATTCCTAACTTCAACCATTCCAACTTGACAAAACACAACTTCCGAGAGGAGGAGACATTGCTATAGAGTTTCTCGGTCTTTCTGCTAGGGTGTGTCCTCTCAAGTCTCAACCCGTTTTGGCTTTGACTGGCAGGGGGGGGGGGGCTCCTTCTAAAGTAGGATCTAGATCTGATGTGCCGATGGTGGTGTAAAAAAATAAAGACTTTTAAAATTTAATTTTAACAGATATCACAATTTGGGAGTTGCAGGAAAAAGGAAGAAATGGATTGCAAGAGAAGAGGAAAAAAACAACATAGTATTGAAATAATAATTCTATATGGCTGTGAATGCTGGACAATCTCTAAAGACAGTGAAAATAAAATAGAAGCAACAGAAATGTGGTTTCTTAGGAGACTGCTAAGAGTATCGTGGAAGGAAAAGAAATCAAATGAGGTAGTGCTTGATGAAGCCCACGTGGGACGCTCAATGTTAAAAAACAATCAGGAAACGACAAATGCAGTTTTTGGGACTCATAAATAGACATAAGGGTCTTGAACATCTAGCTCTCACTGGCAAAATTGAGGGCAAACGAGGCCCAGAACAACATACTTAGGGAACCTAAACAAATTGGTAACAGGGAAAGATCAGGGAAACGTAACCTTTTTTGAGCATCCGAGCAAAGGAATGAATGGAGAACCATGATCGCCAATGTCTGTCGCAGATCTGGCACTGGATGATGATGTTGATTGAAATAATGTTGAATTCAGAACTTATTTTCCTAAAGAACTCCAAATTTTAACTATGTGTTAGTGTCCGAAGAGTGCGCGCAAAGGCTGCTCATTCACCACAGAAACAAGAACAATCACAACAACTTTACTATATCAACGTCTATGATTGTGTAGATCGCTAAATCATTCTGGACATCGTAAAGACAGATTTATGTACAAATGGGAAGAGTATTCCGTCATAAAAGAGGTTGCAAATGAGGGAAAACGGGAAAGGGTGGAGTGGAGGGGGGTACACTATGATAGATAGATAGATAGATAGATAGATAGATAGATAGATAGATAGATAGATAGATAGATAGATAGATAGATAGAGAGAGAGAGAAAT